TTTTCTAGAAAGACTAAACCACATGTTGGGGTTGAAACTATGATGCTTGCATCACAAAATAAAATCACTGAATAGTTATTGTTGCCTGGACTTCAACACAAACTATAAAACAGATTGAGTGCAAGAAAGTGCAATGCTCAAATATACTTTTACAAAGCAAAGCGAGTAAAACAATATTTATACAAATATCCCTAGCATTTACAAGTCCATATAAGTACAAGTGGAATATATCAAAACTCAAACTTTTTCTTTGGTTTTAAAGTTCTTGGTAAATAGTGGAGGAAATAAATGTCAAAAAAGTGCTTCTCTGCCAGTCAGGCAGAACATGGATATAAACAATATCTTCTGGAAAAAAGAGATCAGGCATACTGTAGTTTTCAGAAAATATCCTGACCCAGGTAAGTCCAAAGTGCTGCCCTCTGAAGGATTTTTTTACAGCCCCCGGTTCTCAATAAAAACAGAGGTGGGTGCAAATGAACAATTTTCATCTTCTAGACCAAGGTTTTTACAGAGAACATCTTGAAAAATATGAAGAACAAAATACAGATTTCCATTTATTAATGACACTTTTGCATTCAACTTCTTTGTAGGAACTCGAACCACAAACACTATGATGTTCGCTGTTTTCGTGCTCTCTCATGCGTTCAGTTGCGTGCTTCCAGTCACTGAAACCAGTTTCAAAGTTTGACTGAGTATTAGCATTGCTGAAAATGCGGCATGCAAAACAAAATGCAGCTCCGGTGGATGGAGAGTAGAGCAGCCACGGTCTTTCGATGTGCTCACCATTTAACATCTTGCGTTTAAAGTGAGATTTGGAGAAGTGACGCTTTTGATGCTTGTACACCCGTTCTGATGCTTGAAAGCCAACATTCATATTTTGACAGCTCTCCGGTCCTCGCTCAGCCCAGTAAGCTCGCACGGACTCGTCAATTTCCCCCCAATGCGCCGGATCGGTACTGTACGGATCCACAGTCGTCTTTCCATCTGCGGAAGAAGATCCCGCTTCCACCGACTCTGACTCCACAGACGCCAGTCCAGCCACCGACTCAGTCACGGTTAAAGGTTCTGGCGGGATCTTAGTGCCGGTTTTAGCATAGCTAAGGGTTTGAGGAGCGGGGGATAATGATGTTTCTCCTCCATCTCTGCTAACAGGTTTAAAAAAGCCTGTCAGTTTAGGCATTTTGTTTGTCGCCTCTTTGGCACGATGCTCTTTTTCTTTTCTCTTCCTTCTTTTCTGCGCTCCGCTGTCATATTTTCTGTTGTCCGCCATTGTAAAATAATATTCCCTTGACGCTCCTCCTCCCCAATGCGTAAGATGCGTCAAAAGTGGACCAATAACAAGCAAGCATTCAAGATGGACGTTTGCCAGAACAAATTGGAACATTTTTCATCGGTGCTGTCAAAATCATCGTAGTCATTGATTAAATTCAGACACTATTCATTCACAAAAATATAAAACATCCTTCGGGGCCCCCGAAATGCCGGGGCCCCGGGCTGCAGCCCCGGTAAGCCCCTGCTAAAATCCGGCCCAGGCTCTAACACTGAAGGAGTTAATTCACTGACTCCGCCCCAGAATCACAGATTCCTACCGAAGCAAAGCGACAGAAGCCAAGTCATTTCAGGACTATTTACTTTCCACATGTCTGAGGTGTTTACCACGCTTGGTAAGTGATTTCTTTTTCTGAGATGGTTATAATACGACTATTATTTTGAGTTGAGCTCAACCTGTATGATAGACGTCAGTGGCGCAACTGCACATTATTCAGGTGGATGCGAAAACATAAATCCCCCCCGGAAGAAAGGAACGGGATACGTTAAGGGTGAAACTCGCGCTAGATTTACCTCATTATGTGCGTGAGGTGAAGGAGCGTAAGGCGCGCTGAAGTGTATAGGAAAACATACTTGGCACCCTCCAGACGGGGTTTTGGCGCCCCCTCTGGTGCCCCTATGCATTGCATGCGCTGCATACCCATTTTTTGATAGACGTCACGTTCGCCACACGGCTCGGTGATTTAGCTTAGCATACCGAATGTTAGCGGAGTATAAGTATTGAAAAAATGGAGCCGGTGAAGATTCAGTCAAATTCTTGGCTAAATTGAACAGATCTGTAATAATCTGGAGTATGTTTTTTCATTATGTTGAACGTTTACATGCATATTGGTCAGATTTATCAAACTTTCTGATCGATTTTTTTTCCCCTGTGAAGAACTGTAAAAGGCTTTTTCATGTTGAAAGCATTATTCCCGCCCTTGTGTCTTATATATGTTTTGCAGCATGTTTTAATTCTTTTATTGCCTTTTTGTATATATTAGTACCAGTTTGGTTGAGGATGAATCGCCAGTCTCAGCCTAACCTCCCCCTCCTGGTCCCTCCATGGATTCTTCGAAGATTCAAGCTCCAAAAATGATTATGTAAGTGTTAATATCTCTGAAACTCCACATTTCTGTAATTGAGGCTTGTTGTTAAGAGTTGTAATAAAAATGTATTCATTCGCTCCATTCCTCATTGTTATGGTTTTTGTTTATGATCCAGAGACCGACACAGGCTGTCCTACTCAGAGACTGAAGACTGTCTAATGCAGTAGAGGAGCATGTTGGTGTCTCCAGCCAAACTTCACGAACAGCCCAACAACCTGAAGACAATCTGTTAGTGAGTGGACATTTCTCTGGTGGAGTGCAGAGAGGATCTGTCTCTTAACAGAAACATAAACTGGCTCAGAAATGATGGATCTGAATTTCAGGTTGGTCTGTTAAGTAATGTACATATCTGGTAATCTACTTGTTAAAAGAAAATGTACATATATTATATGAACTACATGCATTGATACAGGCTTTACTTTCTCCACTTTGTACTTTGAATAATTTCATGCATATTGTATTGAAGAAAAATGTATTAAGCATATTGCATTTTGTATTGCACAGCTGATATGTCACACCATTTGATAAGCGATATGTGAATGAAAGCGACATGTGAAACATGCACATTATTCCATGTTTAATATGTTTTGTAATTATGGTGCACGTTTTGAAATAAATGCATTTGAGAAAATCATTGGCTCTTTATTAAATGTTTATTTTCCAAAGAATTTTTAAAAGTTCAAAACAATAAAGTACCTTGTCAGGGACCAGGCAGTACAATACACAGAACACAGGTAGTTGAATTCAAAAAAGGTGGGTTTTTATTTACCCAAAAATATGAACAAAGGTTAACATAACAATTAAACAGGCATGCCAATAAAAGAGGTCAACATAAATTACTAGACTCAAGACATAACTGACAAAACAATAAACTGACCTAACTGAAATGACACAGAAGGGGATTTAAATACAGGTTTAGCTAAACCATGTGGACACAATAGGGGAAAACAAAATGGCTGCCACCTAACAATTAACACAAACAATGAAATAAACCCAAAAACATCCCCCCCCAGCATGACACAGGTGGTTCAGTCCAATGAGGCCATCAGCTGTACTTTAGGAACCTCAGCCCTTTGCCACGCCTTTTATCCACCAGGAAGGGGAGCCAAACACCCAGGTAACTCAAACAAAGAAAACAATATTAATACAACATAATTAAATTTCGACCTTGCATTGTTAATACGTGTGCACTCCATATAAACATTGGAAGGTGGAAAAAATATAAAGAATACTTAAACTTACAAAACAAACTAAAGTGAAAAGTAACTATTAATGAAATGTGGATCTCACCCTGTGTGGCTTGCCATCACATACCTATTTAATATTAATTACAAATAACTCTTAAAAAGTTAAAGAAATACTCTGTGAGAATTAATATTAAGATCTAACACTGAATTAGTGTTAGTAAGTGTTAAATTATTAACTCCAGCAGATTTGATATTTGACACTTTAAAGAGTTAAGGTACTAACTCTCCAAAAAGAGTTAAATTAACACTTTCTGGTGTGCACCATATAGACACTTTAAAAGTGTTGAAATCAAATCTGACAGAGTTAATCTGGGCCTCCTGGATTTGTTGTGCAACATGATTATTTGGATACATACACGCACGCACGCACGCGCACACACACACAGACAGACAGACAGACAGACAGATAGATAGATAGATAGATAGATAGATAGATAGATAGATAGATAGATAGATAACCAGCAGTCGGAGGACTGTAGCCTCGTATATGATGTGAGGGCTACAGTCCTCGCATCATATACGACCATTTTACCACTGAACAGGTAAAATGGTCATAAGATCATTTTAATTACTACCTG